ATAATTTACTCGGATGACTCTACATCATGACACGCTCCGTACATTTCAGTGAAACTTTGTACATCAATGATACTCTTCAGTCTATCCAGGTAGTTGTTGCCATAGCACAGTTGTGATTCGTATTAAAATTTAAATTGAAACTTATTTATTACATAAAGACACGGCCAACATAAACCGAATGCGTTAATGGCCTATTACTGCAGCAGGCTATAACACGTTATATTAACCTGGAGAAGGTGAGAGTATGATTTCATTTGTAAATTTGGCAGTCTGGCAATGATGTCGACGCTATCCAATGAGTGGCGGGTAAAAAAATGTCAGATAGACTTACCTGCGTCCTGACACCGCAGTCGCAATTAGTTTTCATGTAAAGTGAAGGAGGGCAAAGGCCAGGTTAAAGGGCAAGCTTTTGCTGAACAATTACTGCACAGTTTCTCATCGGCTGCGCGTTCAACACGGTCATTGGTAGTCTAAACACATGTATCAACTGACAATGCAATTCAACATCAAGCTGATTTCTGTGTTGTTGGCGACCGCATAACGCGTAACCCCTTGGCAAGTTTACCCTGATAGAAATATTGCTTTGTACAAGAAGATTACCTATAAATCGTTCCGAGGAGAGAATTACGTTTCGTTTGCAAATACTTTGTTTGTTGATTTCTGGTTTTAGCCTGTTTTAAGTTGCACAGATGTTTTGTATTGTATGTTTGTCATTAGCTATATGCCTGAGGTTTAAGATGAAAGCTCAAGCCATCTGCGTCAAGAACGCTCGGTCTTAATGGACCATTCGTTACGTTTTTGTGGAGTTAATGCTAACGGATGGTGCCAATGACCAATGACTGTCCATAAATACACAGTCATTGGAAATATATTTTATATCATCTGTATGATCTGAACGATATTGAACGAATGCATAAGGTATCGATAGGTCCCTAAAATGACTGCTTGCAGTAGCATGGACTATGCTGCGAAATATTACGGCGACGGCACAGTAAATCGTGTTCGCCTTGAACAATTGATAGACGGGACATATTTGGTCGAATTTAGAGCAGTAAAAATCCAGGAGTCAGAAGATTCCATTTATACAGAGTACAATAATACAAATAATCATGACAACAATGTTTTAATTTTGCAATTACTATTATTATTATTATTATTATTAGTAGTAGTAGTAGTAGTAGCAATAGTAATAGTAGTATTACTAGTAGTATAATTTCTATTATTAGTAGTGGTACAGTTGTTACGGAAATGGTAATACAGATTCAACCTATATACCAAAAGCGCAAAGGTAAACTATCCTGTGACTTCACGTTTAAAATCAACTGCAGTGACTAAGAACAGGGGTTATTTTACAGCAGTACCATGTCAGCGTGAACGTTCTAAAATGGAGCTCCTCAAATGGCGCAAAAATCGCAACTATAAACGGAATGTTTGGAGTGCTACATTAAATGTACAACTATACGGTTGTAAATGTGGCTTATTATTCAGCTAATGCTGTACGTAAGTGTTCACCCACCGATGTTATTTTTTTACATAACTGAACCCCTTAACTTTTAAAAATACATAATTGCTTTGTAGTGTCAAAAATATAAATACCGTAGCTAATACAATTAATTATGAAAATAGTAGGCTTAGAAGTCACAGACCTGATAATCTCCCATGCTTTCCCTCTGAAAGGAAATAAAACGACTTGTTTTGAATACTGAATATCTTATTTAGTAGAGTCTTACTCCATGGCTCACCTTTGAATTTATTAAAGCAACATTCTGACTGCATTCAGTTACCCGTACATTATAATAAACGTAATATATTAATTTTCACCTTGATATGTAATGATTTTTTTCTCATGTTACTGCTAAGAAAAGAATCGCTGGTTGCTACCAGGACATGTGCATCTGTTTCACTTTTTGGCACCATAGCAGTAACAAGCAGCAGCAAAAGTATTTTAATGTGTGGCAGATCATGGGCTCCTCAATGTCTGTTGTTACAGATATTTGATTTCTGTAAGTAGAGATTAGGCTGAAGAGTCATAAATGCCTTTCGTCATAAATAATAATGACTGTTTCCCTGTAGATGCCTTTAACATGTCTCTTTCACTGTTTATTCTGACTCTAAATCTCACGCTGTAACAGTTCCACACAGAAACAGAGGTACAGTGAGGGTTGGACCTTATTCAACTATTTTGTTTTACTGTTTTTGCTTTTCCTGGTGTTAGGATTTAAGAAACGGATATCCTGGGAGCTGTGTAAATAACAGACAAGCTCGCAGCGCGAGTGAGGGAAGAGGCCTAAAATGATATCAGAACGCTCAGCCTCGAATAATGAGGTGGAACCAAAGAGACTTTAAAGCACCCAAAACAGGCGCATTAAGAAAGCAGTCATGGGCCAGAGTCCGACAAAGAGCAAATTCGCGGTCACCAAACACACGACTCCCCCAGTCATACAGCTCAAATATTGGTGAACCATTGAATACACATTCAATTGAAGAAGTTTTTACGACATAAATCAGGCTATTGAAAGAAAACATTCATTGCTTTGCTTCCTTTCCCAGTAGATAATATTGAAAGTGTCAAAGTGAGCGGGCCTTTCTTTTCTCTCTCAAATGTGGACCTACTCAGTAATAATACTCAACGCCTGCTCCTCTCCCCATCCCCTCTCGTACCTTCAAAGGCACACCAGGCTTCCTGTTTTGTCTGATACCGTGGGGTCCGTCTTTGAGAGCAACATGGCGATTACGGTTCATGTATTCTTTTTTTTCTGCCTCTGTGTTTTAAATGGACGGACAGTTCCAGGGCTCAGCCAAAGCTGAGGTTTTCTTGGCGGGGCTACCAATACTCCAATAACAGCCGAAAGAAAACAGTTAACAGATAGCTTTCAGGTCTCCCAGGCCCAGTGTTTGTCCTGTGAAGCAGAGGAATTGCTCATGCGTTTAGGAATTGTTAATGCCGAGCTGCTTCCACCTTCCCAGAGCAAATTAGTCAAATGCATTGGGTTTACAAAGCAGATGAATAATCTGGGCTGTGGAAATGGCTGGGTGGTTTGGTTTTGATATCGCCACCATTGTGTGCTTTGTGCTCGTGTCATCTGGCAGTTGGGAGTTGAATATCTTGCCACAAAACTTCAACAATTTTGGGTTAGAAAAGTGTAAGGCATCGAAGGGGATGGTGCATGAATTTGCACTGCAACAATTGTCTTCTGCGTTAGTGCAGATGAGGAAAAGTGTTATTTTCACATTATAAAGCAGCCCATCCCAGCTTCAATGTCACATCAATCTAGGAAAACGATCATACTGTCATATTGTTGTATGAGATGAAATCACGCAACTCTGGACCAAGTCTGACACAAATACAACTTTCTAGACACCCCAAATAGATAGCACTGCAGGTTAATGCTTGTGACATAGTGCTCATGGCTCCCAGACTAACGGTTTAAGTACTGGAGGACGGTTTTTGTAAAAGTGACTGTGCAAGCTGTCAATCCTCTGCATTGACACAAATGATTTTTGGCTCAGGCAATTAATCTGAGAGAGAAAGCTTATAGATATAGAAACAATCATGGTTGCTGTCATTAATAACGCTATGGGTCTCAGAAGAAAAAATTAAAGTGAGATGCTGGCTCCATTTTGAAAAACATCAGTCAGATTACTCAGCAGAAGTGGTCACCTGGAATGTTCCTGGAATAAAGAAATCTTTTCATGCAGTATTGCCTGGAGGAGTCACAGAATAAGAATTCATGGTAGGGCTGTTTGTTGTACTGTTTCAGTACAGTTTCCATGCACAGTATAACCACTCCTTCTGCTTTCAGCCACGATTGTGATATTATTGTAGCCTTGCATCAGGTTTGTTTAGCTGCTTTGCAGATGACAGTTATTTAGGGTGACTTTCTCACAATTTTGTAAGCATGTATCAATCAGTCACTACATTACATGGCTACTGTTCCATGAGCAATTGTAATAAAGAACCTTGCTCAAGAGTACTTTATCTCAATATTCTACACTGGTGTCAATCCCATAATTCATTCAGAAATGTAATTACTTATCCACACTGCTACCATGTATACCTCATTGTTTTATTGATTAGAACTCATTAATTACCCTACATGTCTGTCAAATACAGTCACCCTAATTATGGGCAGCAATAAAGAATTTGGATAGATGTTAATATTTATCGACAGCCATTTTACAATTTTCTGGGTAACACATCCACCCAGTGGCTTTAAAAGCTGAGGCAACCATTAAAAGATATAAAATATATAACCATATTTGTCTCACTTCCTCAAGCTGTGCGCTGGATTTTCCACACAGGGATTTTACAGTTTGTTGGCAGAGTCCTGGCATGGCTGTGACGGTCACATCGAGTGCTCATATTCCGTTGCATAAGGAACAGGGGGAAAGTCAATACGGTTCAAACTTGGAGGAGCACAGTGCTCATGTAATCAGTACTCATGTTTTGACTGACCAATGCAGTGCTTCTGTGAGGAAATAAAACTCTGGGAAGATGCTTGGTCGGTTATGCCAAGCTTATGTAATTCTGCCTTGGAAGCCATTGCCTTGCTGAGTACTTGGTGTGTCCTTTGTTTTTTTTTCCCCTGAAGTCATTTACTTACTTACTCTTTCCAGAGCGCTTTATCTCAGGTTTGATTTCCGATTTGTTTCAGGTTGCAAACAGACGTACATGCATTCATAATTGTGATGGAAACTAGAAATGAATGTTTGGGGAGAAGTTCTATCCGCCCTTTTGCCAAGTCTAAATTGAGCTTGCCTTGAAGACTTTGCGGTGAGGTTCACATTACAGGCAGACAGGTAGGCAGGGGTTACAGGCTAGTGAGAGAAGGGGAGACGAAAGAGTGAGAGAGAGAGAAGAGGAGGAAGAAGACGAGGGAGAATTTCAGCTTTTTAGCTCTGAGTGCAAAGGTTATATTCAGCATCACTCCAACACAAACTGAATCAAGAGAATGTTAAATGGGTGTTTTGTCCCTTCTGTGTTCTTGAATTCTTAGCTCAGCAGTGTAGCATAGTGGTAAAGCACCTGGCTTACAACCAAAAGGTTGCTGGTTCAATTCCCTGCTGGGACAGCGCTGCTGTACCCTTGGGCAAGGTACTTAACCCAGAATTATCTCAGTAAATATCCTGGTCTGAAGTCAGCTTGACACAGCATAATCTTCTGCTGCCACCTAAATATTTGGAAATATTGTTCAATGAAGAAAAGAAGTCACACTTGAATTCTTAGCTCAGAAATTAAGGACGAAGCGCACTCTAGTTAGATCGAATAAAAGCCTGTGCTAAATATATTTTTGTGCCATTGATAGGTTGCTCCACTACTCAGTAAGCTTCTTATATGTGATGCCGAACACTTATGATGATGTTCAGAAAAGATGCATTGCTGCAATGCTTCAGTCTCATTTCACCTTTGGTTTGCAGCTTGAGAATGGTTGGATGAGACCTAAAGCAGTGCAACTCTTCTGCACGTTTGCAAATTAAACAAAAAAGAAATGGAATGTAGTGCTTTGTCCTGATCCTACTACCTTTTGCATCTAATGGTGATAATACTACATAATGATAATGATAGGACTGCTAATAATCTAATGCCAATGAATTTAGGAATAGTCTCTGTATGGCAGCACCTAAACATTAGCCACCTATAGCCTAACAAATTTTATTAAGAATTGAAAGAATCTGCTCCTGTCTCTTGACACCTGGCCTTTCAGCAATGCTTCAGCAAGGAGCCTGGGGAGGCTGAAATCTGAAATGATGAAACTGTAACCACAGACGGACTGTGCTCAAATGCATACAACAGCAGCAGCTGCATATCTACAGCAAGAATTTTTTTAATTAAGTAGAGGTCTTTCTAAGGCAAAAACAAATACATTTCCTCTGAGAAATGCTGTTCTGTGTATGTAAGGCTGACAGCAGCAAGCCAGCCAGATGACATCATAATTACTTTCCAGAATTTTGAGTGAGATTCGGCTCTGGAGCATAACATGTTTAGGAACCACCTCTCAGTAACGGAAGTAAATAACTTGAAACTTAACATCAAATTACAAATTATGACTCAAGTTTTCCTTTAAGAAAACATGAGGGATCAGGTCCAAGGCTTAACTAACATCACAAAGGGAGTGATCCTATTCCTTGACGTTATCAGAATGGCCATCTTTACAAATGTGCTGTTGCACACTACTGTTAGGTACATTGCTCAGGATGACGATTTTACAATCTATTTTCTAGAATGGGACCTAACTGTAAGGAAGAAAATTTCACCTGGCAACTTGATAGCAAATGTATTGAGATGCTTAATTCAGCTAGATTTATACAGTATTACAGCTCAGTATAGCATTTAGAGGATGACTGTTGGGACATGCTGTGTTGTGACATGAAGTCTGCAGAGCCACAGTATATGGTTTTCATACCCAAACCACTTATCACCTGAATTGAGCCAAGGATTGTTTTCATTCAGCCATTTACATTGACACCAAATAAATGACCAGACCATGCATAAAAGCTTTGCTCGAAAAGCTCTTCTTGTAAGTTTCTTTTTAAACATATCAAGAGTCAGAACTGACCTTGGCAAAAAGAGTATTTTTCCCTGTTGTCTTGAAACAACCTCCAAACCACATCACAATTAAGATAAATACATCCCTCTAATTTACTATAAATTCACATTAGGAAGCTTGTTACAGGAAGAATGTGTATGATTTTAGGTATTGACATAAAAGCAAAATTTTTTGCCCTGTTATGTAGCCACTGATTTGTCATGATTATAAAGATTTACGGTTTTAAATGTCGTTCTGTTTGTCAGCATAATGAGCTTCTGTCTTGGCCCTCTGTCTCTGTGGGTTTTCCTGGTAAAATATAGTAATAAAAATAAAAGCCGTATAACCTCCACCCCAGCCCTTGATCATGTCACAGCCATTGAAACAGAATTCAGCAGAAGGTGCATTTTTGCCGAGGGTCCCCCTTTCTCACTGCTCTCTCCTCCCTCCTCTCCTTCGTCAGCCGGGGAGAAGGCCCTCTCCAAGCCCCTGGGCTTCCCCACGCAAGGACCCTACTGCTGCAGCAAGCCGAAGGAGCCGGCGGCGGCCGAGCTCCCGGGGGACTCCATCGCCGACTCCATCGACCTGTCGGGCAAGAGCAAGAAGCGCCGCAACCGCACCACCTTCAGCACCTTCCAGCTGGAGGAGCTAGAGAAGGTGTTCCAGAAGACGCACTACCCCGATGTCTACGCCCGCGAGCAGCTGGCCCTGCGCACCGAGCTGACGGAGGCCCGTGTGCAGGTACGCCCCCACCCCACACCACCCCACACCGCACACACGCCGCTGCCACCGCTTTGCGTACGACCCCACCCACCACCTTCTCTGTTCCCTGCACAAGGGCTGTCGTTTCACGATTGGACAGACGGGTGTCCACAGTTTCTTAATTAAGTACATTCCTCAACCTCCACCTCTGGACTGCTCTGCCCATCACGTGTCATGCACACCATCAGGGCAATTTTCCCGGGGTTTTAAACAAAAACATTAGTCAAGCTCCATTTTAGTCAGTAGTGTCCTGTTGCCACGTGGCTTTTTCCCTTTTGGGCGATTGTACAGCTTGGTGCGATTTTTGTCATGTTGCATGTCGTTTTCTTCCATACTAGGACAGGAATCCTTTCAGCTGTCTCGCAGACCAATCTACAGCTTTCACCCATGTCTGAACAGCATAATTCTGATTCAGAAACACAATGAGGCAATTCTGGCTGTTGTTATAGGAATTCTGCAGGTGAACTTTTGGAGGTGTGTCAGCCCCTCTGGTGCTGTGGTAGTGCTCTGCCTATTGAATGGAGCCGACCAACTCCTGTATCTTTACCTCACCAATGCTGGAAAGTACATTGTGCTGTTTTTGCAGTTCATCGGATTAAATTTCAGTGCATTATATCCTTAATCATAAATTACCCTGGTTCTTCACACCGAAAAATCATTCCTAAATTTCCAAATTTACAAATCTGGCAAAAGGGCAAAATTAAAGAGGCAAAATCAAAGATTTAAATGACTTTTTTCCTCAAATGAAAGTAGTGCTACATTTCTTATGAATTTTTGATTTTTGTTTAATTTCAAGTTAAAATTTCAAGTTCAAATAGATCGGTTTTAGAAAGGCAATAAAACCATTGAACGCATCCTGGTGCACAGTACAAGCACACATTTTTAATGCCTACATGTAAATGAGTAAATATCTACAGACATGAAATTCATATGAAAAACAACATAATAATCACTATATTTGCTCTTCTCCTTGACTCAGACTTAGACAGCCCACTTACACAGTGCATGAACATCAGGCCAGTCTTGTGTCCCGGCTCGTTCAGGCCCAGTCCAGGTGTACCAGCTGACCCTGTCCTGTCTCACTCTGACCCACAGGTGTGGTTCCAGAACCGCCGGGCCAAGTGGAGGAAGCGGGAGCGCTATGGCAAAATCCAGGAGGTGCGCAACCACTTTGCCGCCACATACGACATCTCCATCCTACCTCGCTCAGAAACGTACCCCCAGGTACCCCTTCACACTGACACATGCTCCCTTTCTGCGACCCACTGGTCTGCGACCCACTTTGCCGGACAAAAGCAATATTTCCTAACATTTATTGAGGCCTCAGCCTTAGATAAGACCATGCTGGCTCTGCTCTTTGCATTGTGTGATCCCCGACTGTCTGGCTCTACACCCAGATTGCCATGACAGCCACAGAAAAATTAGATGTTTGTTCCAACTTCTGCTCTTTATTGCTCAATTTAGTTCGAGATAACTGAATTACTCAATGGCTATATTTTTAGCAAAGACTTTTACAGCTGACCATTTAACTTATGTCCTTAAGAAGTATTTAGCTGACTGAAAGTGGGCAGGTATATGCATACATGCATATAACATACTGCCACTTAGTTAATAGTTAAGTTTCTTTGTGCCCCCTCACAGTCCAATCAAATTTCCTTTGTTTTGTTTTTGTGAATGCGTTAGCTTTTTCATGGATACGTCTGTGACCTTTGACCTCACCCTGTCTTTCAGATCCAAAGCAACCTGTGGGCAGGGAGCGGCTCTGGGGGAGCGGGGGCGGGAGGGGGCTGTGTCCTCAGCCCTGACAGCATGCCCTCCTCCTGCATGACCCCGTACTCCCACCCCCACAGCAACCTCCCGGGCTTCATGGGCATCTCCACGTCGCCCAGCCCCCACCACCACCACCACCACCACCCGCACACGGGCATCAACAGCCTCTACCCGCTGCACGGCTTCCCCGGGGCCCTGGGGGGCCACTCCTTCGAACCCGTGCCCGAGTCCGACTACAAGCCCTCGGGGCTGGTGGCCCTGCGTGTGAAGACCAAGGAGCCCGGCGGCCTGCTCTCCTGGCCCACATGACGCCGGCGCTGGCCCCCCGCGCTGACTGAGACGCTGCACACACGCGCGGCACGTGCTGGCCCAACTGGCATCTCTGACTGCCGCTTGGCGGGTACATCCTTCTGACCAGACTGACAGGGGAGGGCGCCAAGGCCCCCATCCCAGGTATCTGCCAGAGATTTCACCGTGTCCTTCCATGCAGCTCCTTGCCCTTCCTCCACACGTGCTTCTCCCCTGCTTAACCAACATCCTGGGCCCCTTGCCCCTGAACGGCTCCCCTTGATTATGCTGTGCAGGGATGTTCTTTCCGACACAATGTTACGCGATGCTGTTGGAGGATCAGAGACTGAGGAGCGCTAAGCCAGTCGCTTCCCCTTTTCCTTTCAAAAGGGAAAGTCAGCTTGTTTAATTCCTGGCCCCCTGTCCATATAAGTCAATGTTGTGGATGTCAGCTCTCTTTTGGACAACTTGCACAGGACATTTTACTTTAGTTTTTTTTTGTATTATTTACTTATTGTTCAGTTTTGAATCTTTCACATTTGGAGATGAAAGTCATCAACCATGTACATTTCTCAAATCCAAAGAGTAAGAAGAAATGGTACTGTTTAAGAAATGAATGTTCCATGAATGTTAACCTTGATTTTGATGTATGTGGCCTGAGGATGACTGATAATAAACGCTTTGATCTGCCATTCCTAAGTGTCATAGAGATGCACATTTGTG